TCGACTACCAAGCTCACACATATTCAATGTAAACACACTTGGTACACACCAATAGTAACTTACAGTATTGAGTATACAGTACTATCACCGACATTTTTTCACGTACCATGTCAATATTAGATGTAACGGATATTGTTCGATGTTCACGCATAATTGTTATAGCGCAGGTGGCGGCGGAACTCGCAAATCACAATATGGAAGTCATGATTATAAATACTGTACGGAAAAATGTCATCAGGAATTAAAATAACTCTATACGACCGGGACAAGATAAGTTTTACGATCGTTATGTAAACATTAAGTAGAATTAACAGTTCACTAAGCAAAAACTAAATGTGAGTTATTAAACGAATTTGTGTTCGAATAAAAATAAAATTATATTTATAAATGTATTATTTTAATTTAATTCCCAAGGTTTGACTACACCTGTCACTTATATTAACTGCATGAAACTCAACCAAGAATTTGACCCCACGATAGTAATAAAAAAAACTCCGTGTATTACACTTTATGACAGTGGTTATTAGGAAGTTGATAAACTATGTTTAACTCGAAAGATATAATTTATGCAAATCTGAAATCTGGGTTGACACAGAACAATTTTAAATACAAGACCACATACTGTGTCTAACGAGGCGACGACCGGTTGATTTTTTGCAATCAATACAATATTATAATGAAGCAATTACAACGGGCTACCGTATATTGATATAAAGTCAATTGAGACTTGCTGACGACAGTTTTTTTTTATTTATGCCGTTTAGGTGTAACATTAGTGCACAACGGCAATTATACTAATATTTTTTTTTGTCGGTATATCTTTTTTTGATTATTTTTCGTGTTTACTCAACCTAACTGAACCCAGATTAATCAATCCTGTAATGTTGCACTTAAAATTTCACACATTAAATATTAATCAAAATAGCTTAAAATATCATGGATACTTCGGTATACATAGGCAGAAGTTAATTTGAGATTAAAAGAAATCTTTCGTTTCGCTAAAAAATTATTAATTTTGCACTCCTTTAATTGCCATTAAATCTTAGGAACATCCATCTAAAAGAAAAGGAATGATAACCCGCGTAGTTTAAATAATACCACCCCTAAGATGTTAAACTATGATCTCAATCTTAAAAATGTTAATTTTCTCACTAATCATCATTGAAATTTACTTTCATAGGGCTATTTACGAAAATATTTGTACAAAATCAAAATGCTTGCCGTCTTGACGAAGGCCGACTAATGATTATGACAAATGGGTTAAACTAAATGAAGAATCACTGGAGACCAGCGTGACATCATCGGTACAACGTCATTACTCGTTAGTCTAAAAAGCGCATTCACGTTGCATGCAACGTAAGTGTGACATAAAATGTTATAATAAAAAATAATATCAACAACAAACTAACCGATCATAGCCATCGTTATTATATTATGTACACAATATAACGTAAGTGCTGTGCTATCACATTGGCTATGGTCAACGAACCACAACATACATAATATTATCGTATTATATGTGTAGGGTGGCGATAATATAACGTGAAATTCTTAAAATTCTCCTACCATCGTGTCTTCAACAATTCAATTCTACAGGTTATTCACCAATTATGAGATAATATACATAATGAATAATGGTGCAATCAACTATTATTACCTATTAGTCTTAAATTATACTGACTTTTTGACAAAAATGTATCTTAATTCAGTGGCATATTTAGGGGATAAATCTATTTTTAACGTTTTAAGTCTAATGTTTCTTGGTTGATTTTAGAAATAAGTTAAATAAAGGCATAGAAATTATTTGAATTAACCAAAAATTTCACATTTTTTTGTATTTTTTGAGAAATACGTTCTTAATGAAAAAATATATTTAAAAAACATCATTCTATCCTTGTACCTTATTTAAGTTTTAGGAAATTAGTTGACACCCACTAAGCTGCTTCTGAATACGATTTTGGCTAAATTCTTTTAAAATGGTTATAGTTTAGTTAAGCATAAGGTTTAGAATGGGTGGAGATAAAGAAAATATTACAACCCATATTTTTCCCGACTTAACTATGAAAAAGAATACTTCAAAAATTAGCATTTAAAAGTTAAAACTGATTATTGACTTAGAACATTTTTATTAGAAATCAGTTTGTTTTAAAAAAATACGAGTATTCCATCTCGTAAGTATCTTAAATACCAAACCATCGTAGGTTCGTGAGAGATTGGCAAATATAATATGCAGGTTACCATTTGAAATTTAAATAATAACTAATTTGAAAGAAAAATAATGTAATAAATGAGATTGGAAATCTGAAATCGTGTAATTTTTTTAAGTAATTGTTAGATACAAGTGATAGTACCTCATTTATAATAATGAGACCAAAAATAATTAATGTACTAATAAAAATAGTTAAGATATGTTTTTTAGGTAAGTTTAAACATTTACTCATGACAAATATGTTGTGAAAATTCTGTTCTTATTCTGAACAATAATATATTATTTGTTTTTAATTAAGTGTTTTTAAACACTCTTTAAAAAAATTCCTACACCGTATTACACAGTAATTTTAAATTGTTACAATTTATTATTATTACTATCGTGTAATAGGTAGACATTTTTTTTTCTGTTTTGACAAGTTAAAATATTAATGATTACGTTCGTGTACACAGAAGTTATTGCGCCATTATTTTACACTCCACTTCATAAAAAAAATGTTATAGCCCACACTTGTAACACGAAGACTATTTAAAACTTCGATTATAAGCAGTTAATGTCGAGAAAAACCTGATAAGATAATAAAATATTTAAAAGTTTTTAACGTTCAAATTTCAATTGGCACTAGAATATTTAATGTGTTTTCGAACCGAATTATTTTCTTTACAGAACTCAGACAAATTTCCAAAAAATATAAAATTAATTGATATTGTGACAATATTAATAATTTTAAGTTAGGTATAAAATTCTATCGTTCAAAATAATATTACAAAAGCATTTGTAGAGTTGTAATTTACATGAATGAAAAAATCTGTATATTAGGTAAAAAAATAAAAATTAAGTGTTCGTAATGTGTCATGTGTGGTCAATTTCCGTTAAAAACACTTCTGTACCTAACTATAATTACAAAATATTTTCGGTAACATTTTTACTACAAATTTTATATTAGTTTCCCTAAAATAAGCGTTGTCGTAATCGGGAAAGCCTCGAATTAATTAGTTTTAGCACATAATATTATAATATTCTACCCTTAAATCATTTTTACTATGCATATCCATGTGCCTCAAATGCGTTAATTCCGCGTTACATAAAAAATCTTAAGTTGAAAAATATAATTTGTAAAATGTAAAAAACTGCACTCACGGCGCGTTTAAATAACACCAATAACATATTACTACTTTACAGACAATGAAGGAAAAACGACATTCGATTTGAAGTTCACGCACTGACGATATTAAATTGAGGTACTAAATTGAATAATACACCTATATCTAATATATATTATCTTAATGACTGCGCTTATCTTATGAATCAAACTTTTTAATGATGGTAAAACAAAATAGTTGGGAATTGATTGATGTTTTAAAGTCTCCATAAAACTGTAATAAAGGCATAAGCGTACTTAAAAAGGTTAGCTTATCTCTTGTATTTTTGGATTATACATTGAATATACATTAAAATTCCTACAGTCGAGCCCATAATAAAAATGTTTGCAAATGAGTTCTGCGTGGGGACTACGAAATCATAAACATAATAATACAACGAAAATAGCGTTAGATATTATAGATATTATGATATATTTTCTAATAATTTTATTAGGTTTCGCATCAATTACTCGTTCGCAGCTATATGTTTTGCAGACAATTTTAAGTTGCTTGGATAATATACAGTAAAGTCATTAGCAATTTGTACGTAAACCGTAAATTTACAGCGTAGACTTAAAAATTGAACAATATATTTTAATACTTAATATTAATACATATTTTAACAAAAACGTTAGCTAAACGCTTACTCCGAATATTTGTTTTTTTTAAACAAGAACCAAGTCAAGTGAATTATTGATTACAAAAAATTATTTCTAACATTAGGAATTCATTGTCAATATTATGCGTATTGTCTTTTGACTAGGTATAACAAAAAAACACTTAAGTCCGGCAAACAATAAAATTTATCGCTTCATCACTCATGGTTTTAACGTATTATTAAGGTTTTTTTAGGAAGTTTTATCAGACGCCATTAAGACATAAGAATGCATTTTAAACTACGACTAACAATAAATATGAAAATCCATAAAAAGTTAAGTACTACTACTACAAAAAAACAAATAATATCTCAAGTTATTGTTTTTGTTTAAATTTTGCATAAAACATACGCCATTATGTTACACGATACGTAAAAATCGAACCTAACTAATTAGGTTAAATTTCAACAGACACATATTCACATACTTTGTCGTATATTATAAAACATAAATAGGTGAACAAAATATACATGCATAATAACTTAATTTGAATAAAATCTTTCAGATTCTCAGTAGACCGATCAAGAAGAAAAACAAGTTTATTAATTATAATAATAATTTTCAGCATCGGCGGCAGTGACAGGTGTCTATTTTTATGGAGATAGCACTAAATGACGGCATCCCCCCGAGGCTAAATCCTCTTTTTTCACCCTTTCCGATATACGATCAGTATTTTGTTGAAGTTCTTTTTGGTGTACTTATAAAATCATTAGAAATATGCAGTCTATTTTGTATTGTAATAAATTCTTCCCAAAAAACTCCCGTATTTAACAACGCGAGGGCGGACTAACAACGAAAAACGTTTTGGTGCTGACGACGCGACGGTAGCCGGTTTTATCATCCCCTCGTCAACATAGTCTAAACTATTTAAACACAGCTATCAGACATACACACACACATATTTTGATACTTTTCTCTCCCGGTCTCAATTAAATATAAATCGGATTATGGCGGAATGGTCGGTTGGCGACTGTCGGGAGAGGTTGATATTACTTGGCATTCGACTTCTTCGCAGGAGACTCGCCTTGTTTGGGAGCGACTTACCGCAACCTAAACTCGTCCAACGTTGCCAGGGTATCCATTAAAAATGGAGTCGGTTTTGTCTAGAAAACAGGAAAAAATTTTGCCGACTAAACCGAACAATATGTATATTAATGTAACACCAATCGATATGACTAACGCGGTCGGACAGGCCCAGAAGAAACGCACTGCCGCGGTGGCTCATCGACACTACACACACTGGCATCGAAAAATGTGAAGAAGTCGAGTTGTACTCCGAGTTCAGACCCAACCGTACTGATTGTATACTGCAACAAGGCAGTATATAGCGAACTCTGGGCAAACCGGTTGCGCGGCACCGTGAACGCAGTAGTGGTGGCGTTTGCGCTCCGTTATACAAAAAAATATATAAACATACATATTGTATACTATATCAATACCCTTAAGAAACTACACGTTGTATGCGGGTAAACTAAATCATAATCGTTATTATGACCCTAGGTCCTTGGAATTCTATAATAAATAATAATAATATTATAGAGCGTACGCGGCTTGTCGAAAATGAAATATTATCCTTGAATAGAATAGCCCGAAACACTGATTAAACAACAAGTTGTATGTAATTATTGCGAGTGTCCCAGGATGTACAAAAGAAACAAATGGTTATTTTGAATGAAAAGCGATTTTTTCGTTGGCACTTGACTCAGTCGTGAGAAAAATCATAAAATGGGGAAAAAAAACACTTGATTGTTGAATAACACGATTGAAATAACGCCTTGTTTACATCAAAATATTAACATTACGCGCGGACGTGACTATTACCTGTTTTGTATGAGAAGTGAAAAAAAAACATTATTTTAAATTAATACTTTAAGCAGTGCTTGAGCGAGGGGGTTACACCGGTTGTCTATCGACGTCCTATAAAGCGTTTAGCATACAAAAATATTTTATTGTTATTTCTTGGTTAGAATGCTTTTCCCTCTCCACTCACTACAAACCTGGGCTTTAGCAATTCAACAAAACCGTAGCCGAAATTTGAACTATTGTTTTTATTCAATCTATATTTCTAAAAAACACTCGTGTTCAGTCTTGAATTCTTGTAAATTACACGCACGTTTTATAAATGAATCGCTTTTTGTTAAAAGGGCATATGTTACATTTGTTGTTTAACTGTTTTGCAACTTTCAACTAGTATGAAATTGAATTAAATATTTTTACAGTATCGAAATTTGGTATAAATGTCGAGTACCGTGCACGTCATAATGCACATAAAAAAATGATTTACAAATTACCACATTTTGAAAGTTCTACAGTTTTTCTATCATTTCCCAAAATTTTACCTGTTGAAACATGTGCCCTTTTAACAAAAAGCTATTCAAATGTGATATGGAATTTGTTATTTTCCCTCTCAATATTACGTGGATTTGTCATTTGAAGACTTTAGTTCTTTCAGATAATTTGTTGTTTGTTTGCACGTTCCGTTAGTATTACATTAGCCTAAGCTTGTTGATTTGCCTATCTGGACAACATCGTTTTTAACTAAATGTAAACTACTTCTGGGATTTTTACAGCTTTTTACTTACTTTGTTGCCGTTGGTCTTCTGATAATCGGCCATAGAGTGAGTACGATTGACACGTGACGTCGACCGGCCGCCCCATCGCAAATAAATGTCCCAGTCCTGGTAGTTAAGCACATAGTGCAAAGCGTTCATTACGTTACCAAACATATTACGCGAAACATCAATAGTCGAAAAGAGTCCGCGAAACCATTCGGCAGTATAAAACTGATGTACCGAAGTTATACTGAAGTCTGAAGAAAGTAAAAACACAACCGAAACGCGCAATGAACAACTCCACCCGCATAAGCCACCGAACGGGAGAGAAAGACAATAAAAATGATGAGATACTGCAATGCTCGACACGCACGAGTCTATACTTAGAACTAAAAACACGGGACATCTGCTTGTATATTATGGCTAGAGAAACACACGATAAAACGAGAGACGCGTTGTAAGAACTTATGGTATTTTAACATATTATTTTTATAAATGGCAGTCAAATATTATGATACTTCGTACAGCATCGTTCAAATGTAAGCAGCATACCGTTTTTCCACCGGCTGAGTTGAATTCGAAATCTAAGGATGATTTTCATCGAATAAATAATTGACCTAAGTTTAAACTAAACGTTTTTATTGATTTCATTCATTGAATCGAAGTAGATTCAAACAACTTAGACGTCGACGTTGTTAGAACGCGGCTTAAAGTAAACTAGGTCGTATTATCGTGTTTTTTTTCATAAACAATATTGTCGTAAGAAGTTTTGCAAATAACGTCAAGGTTTTACTTCTTATCGGCGATTGTGTTTTTAATAAATAAATTATTGTTACATCTAACCGAGCGTACTGAACGATTGGAAAATCTGACGAATCACTACCTACCATACAAAAATTGTATGCATAACTTTTTATTAATAGTCGGTCGTCGTGCTAAACTTTCTTACTCTGGCCGCATTTCAAATAAACATAGTTCGAAAGAGGAGTTTACAGACACCCCAACCACTCTCCTCGGTCCAGTTCCGCCACTGCACGATAAGGATATGTATTATGATACACATATTATATTATGTTAAAAATCGGACTATAGAAAATATACTAAAATAATAATAAATTAGGTACTTAAGAGTAGGTTCCTGTTTTTTTTTTAGAAAATATAGAGATAAATTACAGTAGGGGGAAAAAATACAAAGAAATTTGGGTAAGTGTTCAGAGAATAACTCAATCCACGGACAACTCATCAGCACATAGATAGACACAAAGAGTATTATACGTGAAAAACATACCCAACTATTTAGGTTGAATGTAAACAGATACATATTCACATACTTTATCATACATGCATAATAACATAATTTGAATAAAATCTCTCAGATTCTCAGTCAACCGATCAAGAAGAAAAACAAGTTTATTAATTATAATAATAATTGAAAGCATCAACGGCAGTGACAGGTGGGCTATGTTATCGGATTAATTGTACGCGGTAAAATTTATTTTTTCCCCCCTTTTCGCTCCACGATAGGTATTTTCTTGAAGTCGATTTTGTTGTGCCCATAAGTGAGGAGGCTCGCCTTATTTAGGTCGTTATAGACCACATTTTCACAGTATAGAAGTTAGTTGAGACGCTAGGAATTCATTAAAGAATTACATTATATGCTGTTTGTGGGTTACAAACAAGCATAAGACTCGATAAATAGAGAAGTATTATCGAAATAGCAACGCACTACTAACTTTTGGGGTACCAATTAAAATGGAAAAGAATGATCAAGCTATATGCATGAATAGAACGAAGTGCCAGCAGCAAGGCTAAATTCAGCCCATTGTAGCAAATTACCAATGGCGTTGAGAGTGGAGCGAGCTTTGGTGTAGCCATACTGTAGTCCACTGAGGTTTGGCGTTATCTCCTCAAGTATTCTGTCACAGATAACCCTTTCCATTGTCTTGGACAGGGTAGGAAGAAGGCTGATTGGGCGATATGATTTCGGAAGCACAGGATCCTTGTCCTTACCCTTTTTAATGACGATAATTTCGGCCTTTTTCCAGTGGTTGGGAAAGATGCAGTCAGTGAGACAGCTATCGATGAGCTGTGTGACGTATCCACTAATGAAAGGCCATGCCATCCTGGCCATTTTACCAGTGACTCTATCAAAGCCCGGTGTTTTATTTGGGGCAGTGCGCCACGGAGCACTCTTCAAGATTACAAGATTTCTTTATTACTGGGCGGTTGGAGCGAAACTTGAATAAGTCAGTAAGTTTTAGTCGGACCGACTCTAAATCGACACCGGTCCGAACGCGCACTTGTTATACAACTTTTAGACCCAAAATTATAAAAACTAGCACAAAAATCTCGGGAAAATCGAAAAACTTTAGGGAGCTCACGAATAGCACGTGCTCTCTCTACCAACATTGAATGTCGACTCAAATAGCGAAGAAGTAAAATTTGACTTGATTTAGACAATTTGCATTATACTTAAGCAAAAGATACAAATTTAAAGACACCAGAATGAGTAATCAGTAAACCTACGGTATACTACAGTATTCTACGGAGTAGTTAGGAGCGAAGCCTATCCTCACATCAACATCATACCATTATGTTTAGTCCCCTTCTCCTGGAATAGAGAATTTCCCTACAAACCTAATAACATTTGCAAACAACATCAGTAGTTTAACAAACTCACAAAACTAAAATGATGTGTTTTGTTTGTGTCTGATAACTTTGGAAGTCACGATAACTTCTCCCTATGGACCGATTTATTCGTGTAACACCTCTATAGATAAGAAATCGTACGAGGTTGATACTTTGGTTGGCCAAAAGTTAACAATTACTTCACTTTCAAACCCGGGAAAACAATTTGACCGTTTACCTTCATCTATGATATGCGATAACATAGCAAAAAAAGTTTTAGGATTTAAGCGCTGACAATTACTGATAGGTTTGTGTAAAAAAAAATATCTCTTAACATTTTTTTTTATAATGAAAAAAAGTGACTCAAAACACTATAAATATGGATTTTGAAGACTATTATGAGTTTACAAACTTGAAATTTAGTATATGAGCGCAAAATAAAAAAAAAATTGGATTATATCTCCCCCTCTTAACCTCTTAATTATGGAGTAAAATGGAAAACTGATCTCAAAAATGAAATTGACGACCCCGAAAACACATAATTTGAAATGTTTTGAAGCCTGTTGGAATAAAATCAAGACTTTTAGCTATAATTGCTATAGAACCTTATGTCATATGCTAAATTATATAAAACTAGTTCAGGTATATTATTCAGTTCTTCTAGACTAGTAATTAAGAGGTAGTAATAAAATCACATCCAAGAAAACACTTAATGAAAATCAGTGAATACTAGACCCCACTTTGGTACTTTCTTACTATGCTGGTTTCAGGTTTGGACTATGCTTGGTTTAGACTGTGCTTAGTTCAGACTGTGATGGTTTTAGACTTTAGATTGATAATGGCTTGGACTGTGATGATTTACACTGTATTTGGTTTGAATTGAGCTTGAATTAGATTATGCTGGGTTAAACTGTTCTGGTTTAGACTTACTGGTTTACACTGTGCTGGATTCTTACTATTTCCAGACTCACATCAAAGTGTTTGGTTGTGATGAAATCACATTTAAATTTAATAATTGCTTTGACTAAAATTTGCTAACTTCTTCTGTATTGATTTATACTAAGCTTGGTTTGGAATGTGCAGTTTTTTTTTTAATTTATCACTTTACTGT